CGATTGAATAGTAACGGACACATATGGCGTGAAAGCGTCAAGTCTACAAATTTAACGGTGATCTAGAGTAACGGCGTCGTTTGCGTTACACACAAAAACCACCTGAGTCAATCGGAGTCAAAGACAGATATGCCTCTTCATTCTTTTGAAGCAACCCCACTCGTTTCGTTTCTGTGTCTCCTCTTCAATCCATTCCGAGACGGAAAAAATCCGATACGGTTTTCAGTTTTTCACCAACACAATAATTTCAGGCGTCACGCATCGTATTGTCTGCGTCTGAGAATCGGACACTACAAGTTGGAAGCACGAAACTGTTGCTTACTTTACTGTCTCCTCGGAGAATCGGCCATGGCTGAGACCGAGAGCTGCGAGGCTCTCCGAGCGCAAACCGAGAAAAAACGTCACGACGGACAGCCAAACGACGAATTGGAAGAAGAGGAGGAGGGAGACGGCGACCTGGAGGCGGGGGAAGAAGAAAGGAAGGAAGAGAGTGAAGTCAGTGAGTTTCGTGGTGCAGAACTGTTGAGTGGAGACAAAGTGAGAGAGACGCAATCGGAAACCCTAGCGGGTGCTGGTAAGTTTGTGTTTTTCTCACAAGTAATTAAGTTCTTTCCCAGAAAAATGTCTTCTTTTTTTCTTTTCGGAATTGTTGTGAGACTGTGGATCATCTCGCAGGTTTGCCTGAGAATTTCACTTTAGAATTGCCAGGAGGATCTGAATTGAAGGTCAGAGTTCGAATTTACTTGTATCTACTATCTAGTTATTATTATTATTATTATTGAATTTCTTTCCTCTACTTTGAGTCTTGCACTATAGCGTTTCATTTATACTGTTTTTGATCTATTTGATTGGACTTTGGTGAGTCTACCTGTGTATGTTTGCGATTGGAAAGGGGAAGGGGTCCAAAAAGTCTTGTTTGATTAAGGAGAGGCATCGATATCCATTATCCAGGAATTTGTTAGGTCGGAAACATAGAATAGTTGGGTTTAGTTATGGATATAGCATTATTGGTTATTGATTATGTTAGCTTTCTGTCAGTTTCTTTCAGTGTCTTCTCTACTTTTGCCTTTTATGTGGAGTTTTTAGGATTGGTTCCTAATCCAATTCTGATTAGTGTGAAGATTGTATCTTTCTGGCTTTTCAGTACTAGAGGCAAGTTCAGGAAAGATATCTGTTAAATTTGTTATATACTTCTAGCAACATAAATTTCATAACATTCTTTGGCTGCAACTATATATTTGCTTTAAATGTGTGTGTATTTGGCACTCCGTACTGCCCCTGTACACTGATTTTTATTCAACATTTTGCTATCATCTCGTGTAAACTGCAGCTTAAATATCCGCCAGGTACCCCCCCTTCCTTCTGTGTGGTATACTATTGTATGTCCTAATAGTAATAGAATGTTAGTTACTTTTTCAATTAGAACATTAATTAATAATTGACAATAAGAACCCAGAAACAAGAAAAGGAGATATGCAACTTAAGTTTATCCAACATATTATTATTTTGATTATGTTCTTTCTAGGTGCAAGATAAGGTATCCCACCAAGAAGTTTTGCCAAGTTCAACAACCCAGTGTGCTGAAGCTCAGGCACAAAATCAGCTTCAGTTAAGTGTCTTCCATCGAACTGTACCTGAAGAAATCCTGTCAGGGCAGAAAGTTAATGGCACATCCATGTGTGAAGCCAACCAGCAAAATTCTCCTGATTTTAAAAGAATTTCTGTCCTTCCCATTTTGAAGACACCTGTTTCTGATGGTTACAATTGGAGAAAATATGGTCAGAAGCAAGTCAAGAGTCCTAAAGGTTCTCGAAGCTATTACAAGTGCACATACTCTGAATGTCAAGCTAAAAAGATAGAATGCTCTGATGACACAGGCCACATGATAGAGATTGTCAATAGAGGCCAACATAGCCATGATCCACCAAGGAAAAATAACTGCACAAGGGAAAGTAGGGTTGTTTCATCTACTGAGCCTGTTTTACAAAGTAGTGTCACCGAACATTCCATAAGAATGCCCAATAATTCAGATCCTTCCACATCTTCAAAAGAATCGACTCTAGAAATGACTGTAGTTCCTGAAAGAAAACAGCAGCACTCAAGTTCTGATAGAAATGGCGAAACACAGTTGAAGGAGGAGCATGTGCGAGAACCAGATCCAAAAAGAAGGCAAGTTATCCTATGGATTTATTTTCCTCTTGATAGTCACATGTCTACATTTCTGTTTACAATAATTAAGTTGAACGACATGTTTGTGAATCTGGTTTAATAGTTTCCCATTCTCTCTTATAACCAGAGTGAAGAAAGATAACATGGATTCTCCTGGCTCTGTAGTAAAACCTGGGAAAAAACCCAAATTTGTTGTGCATGCAGCTGGTGATGTGGGGATCTCTGGTGATGGTTACCGGTGGCGTAAGTATGGACAGAAAATGGTGAAGGGAAATCCTCACCCCAGGTGCCTGTTCACTTCAGCTCTAAATCTTTTTCTTTAAGAGTTTATAATTTGTTCTTTATAAATCTTTACACATTTGATCTGCTACTGCCTTGTCCTTATTTGGTTTGGCATGTGGTTACTTGTTTTGTGTATAGCCATACATATCTGTGAACAAACAAGTTAATCAGATAACTGCTTGGTTCATTTGATGCTGTGTTAGTGATTTATTATTCTATTTTCATTTTTTTCATAGTAACTTAGGTTAGTCATCACCTAGGAGCATGTTAGAGTGTGATCTAAATTCTAAAGGAGTAATGTTGATATAGCCATTTAGTATAAAAGGGGGGGACCACTGGAATATATATATATATATATATATATATTCCAGTGGTCCCCCCCTTTTATACTAAATGGCTATATCAACATTACTCCTTTAGAATTTAGATCACACTCTAACATGCTCCTAGGTGATGACTAACCTAAGTTACTATGAAAAAAATGAAAATAGAATAATAAATCACTAACACAGCATCAAATGAACCAAGCAGTTATCTGATTAACTTGTTTGTTCACAGATATGTATGGCTATACACAAAACAAGTAACCACATGCCAAACCAAATAAGGACAAGGCAGTAGCAGATCAAATGTGTAAAGATTTATAAAGAACAAATTATAAACTCTTAAAGAAAAAGATTTAGAGCTGAAGTGAACAGGCACCTGGGGTGAGGATTTCCCTTCACCATTTTCTGTCCATACTTACGCCACCGGTAACCATCACCAGAGATCCCCACATCACCAGCTGCATGCACAACAAATTTGGGTTTTTTCCCAGGTTTTACTACAGAGCCAGGAGAATCCATGTTATCTTTCTTCACTCTGGTTATAAGAGAGAATGGGAAACTATTAAACCAGATTCACAAACATGTCGTTCAACTTAATTATTGTAAACAGAAATGTAGACATGTGACTATCAAGAGGAAAATAAATCCATAGGATAACTTGCCTTCTTTTTGGATCTGGTTCTCGCACATGCTCCTCCTTCAACTGTGTTTCGCCATTTCTATCAGAACTTGAGTGCTGCTGTTTTCTTTCAGGAACTACAGTCATTTCTAGAGTCGATTCTTTTGAAGATGTGGAAGGATCTGAATTATTGGGCATTCTTATGGAATGTTCGGTGACACTACTTTGTAAAACAGGCTCAGTAGATGAAACAACCCTACTTTCCCTTGTGCAGTTATTTTTCCTTGGTGGATCATGGCTATGTTGGCCTCTATTGACAATCTCTATCATGTGGCCTGTGTCATCAGAGCATTCTATCTTTTTAGCTTGACATTCAGAGTATGTGCACTTGTAATAGCTTCGAGAACCTTTAGGACT